TTTGTCTAAGTGTACATGGTACCACAGTGTCTTTGATGACTGAAGCTTTGGAGAGTCTTACAATAAGGTAGTGTTAAGTCCTGCAATTCTGCCTTCTTTTTCAGAATGCTTTAGCTTTTTCAGGGCTGTTGTGTCTCAGCTTCAGTTTAGAACTAATTTGTCAATTTCAACAACAGAGTCTTAGGGGATTTTGATGAGGATTGCTTTGAATCTGTAGAACAATGTGGGGGACTTACATATCACAATAAGCACAATATCTACTTCCATCTAGGAAGTTGTTCTTTTCATCTTCAATTTCTCTCAGCAACCTTCATATGTGACATACTTTTGTTAAATTTTTCAAGTATTTCATTTTTTAATTCCATGACAAGAATATAAACATTATAAACATGACTTTTTTTACAAGATAGTTGACGTACAATAAACTGAACCTATTTGAAGTATATGATGTTTTGACTTCTACATGTATCTGTAAAACTGTCATCCCAATTAAGAAAATGAGCATATCAATTTCCTCTAAGGTTTTTTATGCCCTTTTATAATTCTCCCCACCCCCTTTACAGCTGACCCTCCTTTCTCCAGGTAGCCATTGCTCTTTATGTTACCAGATTGCATTTTCTAAAATTATATATATATGTACAGGACCTGGGTTTGGTCCTAGCATGGCAAAAACAAGTGCAAACAAAAAACCCCTATGGAAGGTAAAACAGGTCCTGTCTGGGGATTGGCATCAGTGGGAGGGGGAGGATATAAAGAAAGGGTGTAGGAGGGTGAATGTGGTAGAAATATAATGTACTCATGCACAAAAATGGAAAAATGAGACTTGCTGAAACTATTCCAGGAATGGGGGGAGGGGAAACAAAGGAGAATGATGGAGGGGGTAAACTCAACAATGATACATTGCAAGAACTTTTGTAAATATCACAATGTAACCCCAGTACAATAATAATAAAAAAAGAAAAGAAAAAAACCCTGTGTCCTATTTACTGCTGAGTTGTATCACACTATTTGTTCATCCACTGAGTGTTGAGAGACATGGGTTTTCTTCCTCCACTTGGCTATTACAAATAACAGCTGCTATGAATGTGTACAAGTATTTATATAGACAAACATTTTTATTTCCCTAGAGTAAATTCCCATGGGAAGAATGCTGGGTGATATGGTAGACGTTACCATAATTTGGATGTGGTTTGCCCAAGGGTTCATGTGTTGGAGGCTTGGTCTTTGGTTTGGCATTGTAAAGAGGTGGGGCCTAGAGGGAGGTCTCCAGGTCACTGGGGGCTCTACCTTCAGAAAGGATTAAAGTAGCTCTTATGGGTCTTGTGAGGATGAGCTATTGTAAGAGAGAGCCTGACCCCTGAATCACTCTTTGGCTTTCTGTTTTGAAATGTGATCTCTGCCTACTACACATACTCCTCCAACTGGACATCGGGTGCCATTAGGTCCTCAGTTGCCAATGCTAGATTCAATTGCCCTGAATCTTCAGAACTATGAGCTAAATAAACTTCTCTTTATAAAATTATCTGGGCCCAGGTATTTTGTTATAGCAATAAAAATGGACTAAAGCATATGTTTAATATTTTAAACTCCCACTGTTTTACAAAATGGTTGTATCCAGACTGTGGATCACCATAAAGTGGAAGGGCATGCATGCTACAGTAATCTTTTACCTCCTGCACATGCATTCTGATAATGGAGATTATTCATTCATTAAATATCACCACGGAACTGCTGAGTGCAATGAACTGGGTGAGGCATGGAGGATATGGCAATGAACGAGATGGCCATAGTTCCTGCCGTGGGGCTTACACTGTAAAAAAAGGAGACACTAAGCAACTTAGTTCACAATTAATTACTTGCTTTCAAAGAAGTACAGTGTGCTCTGAACCTCACCTGTCTGGAGACTCTCTGAAAGCTTCTCTGAGAGAGCAACATCTGGCTGAGTGTGGAAGGCCAAGTAGGAATGGACGAAATAGATCCAACCCCAACTGTTGTTGCTAAGTCCTAATGTGGTTATGGACTCCAATACAACTTAACTTATGATGCAAGTTTTAGAATTGATTTACTTGTTGATTTACTCAGCCAAGCATGATTCCCAACTCCTACATGAAAAACTAATCCTATGTTTTGTAATAAGAAGCAAGCTTTAGAAGCACCATCATTTTCTGTTTTCTGAATCAATACCAAACTGAGTACCCTCTTCAGGAGAAATAGCCCTTCTGAATAATGAGAAAAACAGACACTCTTTCTCATAGGTCATAGAATCATGGATAGAATCATGAAATAAAGGTCATGAAAGAGTGACAGGCACAGCTAACATGGCACTTGTCAAGCATATGACTTGCTGTCCATCACACAGAAAGGGTGCTCACCCAGCACTCTCCATGTGGTAGGCACTGTTGTTTCATTACAAATAACTGAGATCCAGGTTTCAACTCAAGGTTTAAAGAGATCCCAGGTTTCAAATAATTTGATCATGTTCATAAATTGGTCAGTGACAGAAAAAAATATCTGGACCTAGAAGTAGCCTACCTTATCTATAATATTAATATGCAAAAAAGTCACATTCAAAAAACAGAATAAAAACTGTCACACAGGCCCTAAGGCATCTGTGGCAGGAGTGCCTGAAAACCACCACGTGACTTTGTGAAGAACGCAGACACGTTCATGGCTCCTGCTGCTACTTTTGCACTATTTAAAGGAAAATTTTTTTGGTGGTACTGGGTTTGAACTCAGGGTCTCATGCTTGCTAGGCAGGCCCTCTACTACTTGAGCCACACCTGCCATCCCTTTTTTGCTTTACTTATTTTTCAGATAGGATCTTGCATTTTTTGTCTGGGGCCAGGCCAGCCTCAGACCACCATCCTCTTACCTACACCCCCCACATAGCTGGGATCACAGGCATGGGCCACCACACCCAATTTATTTGTTGAGATGAGGAGCTCAGTAACTTTTTGCCCAGGCTGGCCTCTAACGACAATCCTCCGATCTTGGCCTCTTGAGTGGCTAGGATTACCATCATAAGGCATGGCACCCAGCCCTAAGTGTTTCTTTTGAGGACCAGTGGTCTCTACTTTAAGGGCCAGTGGTCCCTAACAGTCATCATTCAGGGTTAAATACTTAGAACACAGCAAGGTGTCAGACACACTTGGATTTAAGTTGCAATTCCTTCACTTATAAGCTATGTGACTTTAGACAAGTTATCTAGGCCTGTTCAGTATGAGCACAGAACAAGATCAGAATGTGGAAAGATCAGAGGTGATGTGTGACACTAAGGATGCTGACAGGAATGTAGCAAGTCTCTGAAAGACGCTTCTTCCATGGCATGTGAAGAGGATTCTGGTCAATGGGATGAGGCAGCTTCCTGATTCGCCCCTCTAATGTGCAGCTACTCTCTGGAGGGGAGGCAGACTCAAACCCAAGCAAGCAGGGGGAAGCTGAGCCCTCTTATGAACACATCCTTTACCATCCAAACAGACTCAAGGCTCAAAGAGATCCCAGCCTTCAATATTGTCGAGATCCTGGAATAGCAAAGAGGAATCATTCTGCATGTTCCTTTTCCACCTCACTTTTGCCATAAAAATAAACACATGGGAGAGTCTGAAGCTGTTGTACGCAATGAAGAGAGAAAACACTGGCAGGAAAAAATTAATTCTTTTCCCTGTAAGTGGCTAGAGAAATAAGAAGGCAATTTACTTTTTTAAAAATGGGAATGATGGCATGGCAAATGTCATCCAATACTTTAGATGTGATGCTGTAAAAGTCATTTCTAATGAATGAAAATAAATCTAAAAAGAGACATATTCACCTTTTTGGATTCATCTTTTTGGATTCATTTTCATTCACACTCTGCCTCGTATTTGCCAGTACTACACTGACCAGGGTGCCACACATCAATCTATTTCAGAATAACTTCTTTCACACCCAAATGGAGCTGTATTTTAAACAAAAGCTAAACCAAAAAAACTAGGAAAACTTGGGCTTTTTCACTTTTGCAATAACCTCCCCCCACCTTTTTTTTCCCCAGTGCAAGGGATTGGACCCAGGGCCTTGTGCATGCTAGGCAAGCACTCCAAATCCAACCCTAAAATCTACTCTGATTAATGAGTTTGAAAATAAGTTTCTATAATGAACATATATACCAAATATAGTTTCATTTAATAAAATTTCATGATTTCTTAAGAACTCCAAACTCAACAACTCCTGAGTAAAGGACAGAAAATGGTTCTTCTCTCCCAAAGGCAGGGTGGCCACAGGGGATAAACGTCACTACCATTCCTGTGCCAGCTGGAGCAAACTGATTTATACACTCTGTGGTGCTCCAGTCTGATACCACTGGGGCCTCCTGCAGCGTGGGCCTCTGCTGTCGCCATCATGCTTGGCACATACATCCTTCCTGACAGGCCTCATCAACTGCTATTGCTTCTCACCAGGCCTGGGCTCTGGCACTTTCCCCTGGGGAGGCCTTTACTGGTCTCCATACTTAACCCCTGAACCCAGTCTAATCCATCAGCCGCCCCGAATGAGCGGTGATAGAGAATGTTCCTGCCTAAAGACAGGCGGCCAGCCTCTCCACTTAAAGTTCAGAAAGAAAGCCATCAGCAGGGTCTGCTTTCTGTTTGTCAGTGTCGCTGCTTCTTCACTTACTGATGGTTTTAACTGTGAGTAAGCCTAGTAGCCGGACTCAGGGCAGCATTGCTCTGGGAGACATCAATTAGGTGCTTGTTACATGCTATAGGTGTGCCTTTGGAAATGTCCTCTGGAACTCTCCTTGGAACTTCCCCAAACAAAGAGGGCACGGTTGTTACTCTGGAACAGGGTTCCCAGGTTTTTAAAGAACAGCTTCATAACTCACACTCACACACAGCTTTTGAACTCTACTGGGAGAGTTTAGCAATTATGTCTCTAGAGAAGGAAATAAGGCACTCTTTTCCAGGAAAGACCAGCAGTAACAGCAGTAGATACTTAACCTTTACATACACCGTTGAAAACCTCCTCACCTCATAACCAAACTGCAGCTCATCAGAAGTCAGCATAATAATGTCATCGTCAATGGCCAGGACAGCCTCAGTCTCAATTTCATCATATGGGAAGAAACGGTTACTCAGCTTGTTTTCAGCAGTCCTCACCACTTTTAACGGCACCCGAATTTTGGGCCAGAGAGACTCTAGAAGAAGAATAAAACAAGGTATTTACTGCTTGCCTAATTTGTGAGTAGTAGGCAGTGAGAGCATCCTCACAGTGAGGTAGAAGGATCAGCTTACACCCAAGGCTCTCAGATGCAAAGGTACTCTGGGGAGGAGGATTCTTACACATTTATTTTTTACCACAGTTAAATACATACACACATTTCTTTCCTCTCTGAACCCCTACAGCACTACTAATTCTCCATACTGTGTAACTAGAATAAACAAATCGGCTTCAACTCACAACTGGGGCAGAAAAGCAAAACAACTTGACTGGGGTTACAATGACAGGAAGAGAAAAAAAAAGCCTGGATTCCAGTCCCAGGACCACAGCTTGAATATCAGAACACCTCCGGCAAAATTCTGCAAAAGAGTTTCCTGTCAGAGCACCCAGCTCCAAATGTGCTTGAAGCTACATTAGGAAATGCAGTGCTGTGCTGGAACACACCCTCACACAAGCGAGGCTTCCTAACTTAGCACTCCATCCCCTCCTCCCTAACTCAGCAGGTTCAGTTTCTCATCAAGACCAATTTACAGAGTAAATATCAAATTTCGAGGTTCAATTATGTGGGATTTTCTAGGATGCTGAAGAAACAACAACCCATGACTTGTCTTACATCTCTCCCCATTCCACTTTGAAATGAATAGTGAAATTTGACCACAAGTTTTTTATTTTAAAATCTGCATTCAGCAAAGCATGAAGTTAATACTTCGTTGGTGCAGTTGTGATACCCACAGACCTTGGGGCTCCTTGCAGACAGCAATTTGTTCTTCATATAACATTTGTCAGGGGAGAACAGGCAAGCCAGGTATCACACTGCTTTCAAAACGCCCACCATGCAATATCAGGAAGATCAAGTTTTTGTGGCTCTTAAGGCCTCCAGATGCCTGTGGCCACTACAAAGTGACCAGGCTAAAGGAGAAGCAAGGCAGGGGGAAAATCAAAGGGACAAGGTGGTCTCACCTGACTGCAGGGGAACATCTGACTTCTGTGTATTTACCCTACAACCATAGAATGAATGCACTGTTGGGTGCCCCCTGCGCAAGAGAAAGGCCCTGTAGCTAAGGAAGACAGCCACGATTTTAAAAAAGCCTAAAAAAAAAAGTAGTCAATTCCCAAAGAAGTAGGTTTGAGAAAGGGCTGAACTTGAGACCAAAGAACTAATCCTCTGGGCCACTGTCTTTTAAACAGTAACAACAGTTAACTCTAGTTTCATTCCTGGCACATTATCGATCAGTATCTTTGGCATAAAGATGTGCCTGGACGTGTGACAGAGCGATTGGAGATCTGAATTCCGCATTATCCAGGAGGTCTTAAGCAAGTCCCTTCTCAAAAGTGAGCAGAGAAGGACTTTTATTCCTTGCCCAGTGTGGGCCACATACTTCACGGATGCCTTACCCTTCAACCCTCCTGACAACCCTGCAGGGCAGAAATCATTTACAAAGTGATACACAGCCAATAACGATGAGGCTGGTAGTTGAATCTAAGTCTGCTGAGCATAAAAGCCTAAATATGGTATGACCAGTGCCATAACCCTCTGCAGTGTAAGAACACTGTTTTGCTAAATCTGGAATAAAACTATAAAAGTTCCATAATTTTCTGCAGTAATTATCCTTATTCTTACTTGCATCACCACTCCCTACTTCAGATATATAAAATCCTGTCACACATCTACTGTTTCCAGATACTTATCAAACATGAATGAATTATAGGATCTAAAATGAAGGCGGTTATAGCATTACTGCTACACCAAATGGTTCTCAAACATTTTACTCTCAGAATCCTTCATGTCCTTAAAATTATTATTAAAATTAAAATTATTATTGAGAGTCTGAAAGTAGTTTAATTGATATGGCACGCGCACTCACTGTCAGGACACTAGAGGTTAGAGCTGAGGGAATTCTAAAAGCACAGCACATGCTCCATTAGCATCAGAGGGACGCTGTCAGCTAGCACCTTACTGACTGATGAAAACCCCATGGCACCCCAGGATGGAGTAAAAGATGGGAAAGGGAAACAATGACTCAGCCTTGCTATGAAGATAACTTTAAACTCCCGGATGCCCTTACTGGATGTCAGGGCTACCCTGGGTGCCTGACTCACATTTTGAGAACTGCTATGCCAGACTTAGGATCTGCTACTCAGATTTGGATCTGCAATATTTAATATTAAATGTTTCCAGTTCAAATTACTTTGTGGTTTCTGTCTTCTAACTTAGCCTGGACTACTATGTGAGGTAGTCAAGAAAGGTAATCTGATAAAAAGGGAATTCTTCTCTATGCTTCCAGAGTTAGAGCCATAGCCAATGGCTGGGTGAAAGTTATAGGGCAAATCATTTAGACTCAAAATAGGTAAGAAATTTCCTGATGGTATAAATAGCCTTAGGACAGAATGAATTGCCTTCAGCAATGCCATGTGCTTTTTTACTTGAAATGTACTAACTTTGATAGATTTGCACTTGACATCAGGTGAGGGACTAAACAAGATACCTCTACGGGTAGGCAGTAATGCATCACAGAAAGAACATTGCATCTGGAAACTTCATGTCTGCCAGTCACTAGCCATGTGACCTTAAACAAGTCAATTGCTTTGAACCTACTTCTTTAGAATAATGGCCCCATCTTCACTCGACTGTGAGGCTAAATGGAGGCATTTGGCACTTAATAGAACAGTGTCTGGCACATGGAAGATACTCACTAAATGTCACCTGTGCTTGCCTTCAAAGTCTCTACCTATTTACACAACCAAAGGATTTTTCTGAGCCTTAGGTGGTATGACAAAGCGATACTTTTAGATCTGGTGCATCACCACAACGATCCAGAGGCATGGCTCCAGAACAGGCCTCCAGTGCCCACTTTTAGATAAGCAGAATCACTCAACAGAACTGAAAATGCCTCATACTAATTAAGTAAGGACATGGAACTTTCACCATGTTAACTCCAAAAGGCAGCTTCTTTTTCAACTATGTGTGGAAACGAGGCTGGCTGCTTTGGCTAAGTAGAAACATGCCTCGGTACTGGATGGAATCCGTACTTTCACTCAGGGAGTGTGTACAGCATGTTCACCCCACAGGCATTTCCATATTCTTCACCTACATATATCCAAAGAATTACTTGAGACAATGTCCATGAAGTGCTAACTTGCCCCTGTAAAGTCTTTGATGGGGAAGTTTTAGAGAGTGATGAAAGCCAAGGAGGTTGATATGGGGTACAGATGGAAAGTAGAATGAATCATGGCTTTTTTAGAAGTATGATGAATTTTCGCTGTTCTAAGTTAGGTCTGGGTAGACAAATATCAGCTTTGACAAAAGGAGCCTCCATTTCAGTGGTCAGCCATCTATGGACCACCTCAATCACTCTAAAAAACTTCACAGCTCTTCTTCATTTTGTCAAATGAAACACGCCTCTGTAAAAGGAAGCGTCCTTTCTGTGGAGGTCAGGATGAGAGGGCAGCAGAGCCCTCAACACAGACCTTCTAAAGTGAAATTTTAATCTTGGGAAGCCTGTATTAAAAAATAATTACAACAAAAACCCCTAGGGAAAAGAGAACTATAAGGCAGGGAAGAATATATATGAGGAAGATTTTTCTCCTTGCTGGTGTTTTAAAACAATAGATTTACTTTTCTATCTCTCTTTGAATCTGTGATGAGGATCTAGCTCTATCTACATAATCCCGAGACAGAAGTGACAAAACATGATGACTTTCCTACAACTAACAGTAATCTAAATAGACTCAGGGAGGCTCCAGCACAGCACATGAGCTTTGGATCCAGGGAGACCTGTGTTTATTCTGTCTCTTGTCATTTACAGGTTTGTGATTTAGGCAAATTACCAATCAGAATTTCACTTTTCTATTTTTGTAAAATGAGAAATGTACAGCTTCCTCATAGGCTTGTCATAAGGACTAGGGAGTGTGTGTGGAGTACTCAGTATAGTTCGATCCCAGGAGAAAGGACACACATGATAACTGGTTATACTAGCATCTTGCCATTATTGTCTTCACAAATGGAGTCTTGTGAAGCCCTATCAACTCTGCTTCTCTGCTGAGAACTTGAAGAGGTCCAGAGATAAGCCGTAATGGGGGTCATCCCAAGTCATGCAGAAAGAAAAAGTATCAGAGCTAGAAGTCTTCAGGCTCTGTTCTGTTGCTGAGTCTAGCCAGGGTCTCTTTTCCTTATTCTTTTGAACTCTAAGTAGAAGAGCATGCCCTTATATTAATGTCTCATGCTGTGAATCTGTAGCAGCAAAAGAGAAATGTCACCGATAACTTCTCAGTATGGGTCTTAGTCCCGCATAAAGGAGAAAAATGAACTCCTTTTGTAAAGGTTCCCCACCCCCTTAAGATATTGATTAGTGGTTTTTCTCCATGTTGGGTGCCAAGAGACATGCGAGTGAAACAATTTTTCTGCAGCTTGGCAAAGGTACTGCCAAGTGTTTGGGCTGGCTGAAGATAACCCCAAACCCAGTCCTGCCAATCCACTGACTACACACAAAGTAAAACTATCCGATTATCCCCACACCAACCTTGAGCCCACTTCAGTGCCAAATTGCTCAATGTACAACTGGGCTTCACGACATCACTTCCCAAAGTCCCAGAATTCAGCTCAAAGAAAGATAGCTGCTGCTTCTTTCCTACTGCCAGTTCTGGGCTGACCATCCTGACAGGTTCAGCCAATCCCAACCTGCCCACTAAGGACTGTGACAGTCATAACTTGAAGCTGGGGAGTCTACTGATGTCAATTCAAATTTACAACTGAAATAGATTAAAACCAAAGACTGGGTTACTCCTATCAGAAATATGCAACACAAGAGCTTCCTCCAGACTGAGGCTAGGGGCCAAGGCAAATAATCTCTATACCCATCAAGTATGGAAACTGAAGAAGTGGGGAAGGGGAAGGTAGAAGCCTGCCTCTTTTTTTTTCTTTTGATAGACCTCAAAATCTATAGATTTTGATAGAGTAACAAAAGCTCACTGGAAATTTCTATTGCTTAGCTTAAGTATTTACTTAAACTTCAAATTCAACAATTTAGACTTAACTATAACCAAAAGAATAAAGTATTTAGTTGGGTTGGAAAATGAGAAAAAAAAGTGGGAAGGAGGAGATTTCTACCTATACCAATCCTGCCAGCAACAGACATGTTAACCACAATATTTATTTTAGTAAATGTACAGAATATGAAAAATATCACTTTTACCACTAATATTTCAAAGTCTTAGACTTTTTTAAATTAAATATATGTTACTAATACTGTAAATGAAAAATCAATGTACGTGCTGGCATGAGGACCAGAGCCGACAGCCCATTTACCAACTGAACAACCCCCCCACAGAAGATTAAACGTGGTTCATCTTCACCCCACACAACCACATCACGAGCCAGAGCCCTGACCTAAAAACCACCAACAGAAAAAAAAATCCGTTCACTGCAACGTGTGTCAAAATTAGGGCTTCATTAGTTAAGGGCTCTCTTCCCTCTCTACAGCCAAAATATTTAAAAAGTAAACTAAACTGTTGCTCATAAAATTAACCACGACATTTCAGTGGGGACTACCAAAAATTAACATTGAATTCCCAGCTCCAAACCTGGGCTCTTGCTCTGTCTGTCACTTATGCCAGTGCTGAGGCTTGCACCAAGAAAATAGGAAACGATTTCTCCTTTCTCATATCTGCTCAAAAAAAGTGACTCAACTCATAGCCTTCTGCCCAAAGTATCTAACCAGGGCTTATAAGGAGAAACCTCTTTTGCAGTTTTAAGTTTCATTTTAACTGACAAATGACAACTGTATGTGTTTAGGGGTATCTTCATCACCTCCACTAGAGCCTGCACTCTGCAGGACTGCAGGAAGTGATCTTTACACAGGAGCAAACACATGTAAGTGTTTGCAGCATGACACAGGAACGTCCCAGACCCATTAGCAATGCTGTACCATCCAACTCATTTGTCTGGGGAAAGGTGACCACTGATGACCAAGGCGAGTGACCCAGCAGCACCTCCCTCTTATTTCCCTTCCTCCACATCCATCCACAGTTCCTTTAAATTTCCTAATTTTCCTTCCCCTTTCATTCTCTTCCTCTCTTCCTTAAGTGATCCCAACACCTTCCTTTTCCTTTCCCCCTTCCCTCTCCGCTCTCCTCTTCCCTCTACTCCCTTCCCCTCCCCTTCATTTCCCTTTCCTCCCTCCCTCCCTCCAGTCCTCCCACCTTCCCTCATGGAGACAGGATCTCACTGTGTAGCTCTGGCTGGCCTGGAACTCACTGTCCTCTGGCCTCTGCCTCCCTAGTGCTGAGATTACAGGCCTGTACCACCACACTCAGCTCTCCTTTATTTTTATTAAGAGTTGAATAAATAAAACAAAAATTTTTTAAAAGTCATGTTATAGCATTAAGGGAAAGAAAAATCTTGGCACAAATAGCTAGCAGATTAAAAAAAAGCAGTTATGCTTCATGGTATAATATAGGACATTCATTTAAAGTAGTTATTTTATTTACTCAAATTGTAGCCCTCTAAACCTGAAAAGAAACACATTATTCTTTCAGAGGACAAAAATCCCACAAAGTACAATTTTTTAAATGTCTCAGGAGGCACAGAGAATTTTCTCAAGCAAATTCTGATCCACTAACACAGACAGAAATATGGTCTTCTTCCAGACTAGATTCTAGGTCTACTGCTTGTAGTTTTCAGGGTTGATGATCCCAATTTCAGTATAACCAATTACAAGGGACTAGCCATAAAAAGGCAGATACTACTGTCAGGCAATAAACTAGACTTATCGGTGACAGTGGTGCACATTACAAACTTCAAACTCATTCCTTGCTCTAATCCATCAGAAACTTCCTGGCTTTAATAGGCTATAAATGGCAAGAGCTTTGAAGTCCCTGGGATTAGGATCAGTAATAGACAGACTGAATGAGAAACTAAATACAGGTGGAACATATTCTCTGAATTCTGAATTAAAAACAAATCCAATTAATCAAATAGTCCTCAACCCTAGCTGCCAGCTAGCAGATTCCAGAGGTGGCCAAGGCCAGGAGCAGGGTGATCAAGGAGAAACCAATAGCAGGTTCTAGTGAGAGTCCCCTTCCGGACTGACGCCAAGTCTACAGGGCTTTGTTGCTGAACTTCCCAATCAGAAGTAAAAAAATCATTTTTAGTTGTTTTGAAGGAGAGCACAATATCAGAGCAGAGATAAGGAAGGAGAAAACTAATGCCTTTTAAACTGAGTTCTCATGTAAACAAACCAGCTGAGATAGCAGAGAGGCCGAGACCTGTTTTTCCAAGGCTGATAGCCTTTGATCCTATTGATTCCTAAGCCCTCAAACACTTGTGGCTCAGAGTATGCCAGGGAGTTAAATGGGCCACCCTAGAACAAGGATGAGATGAGTCAGAAAGCTGGGGTTATGCTGCCTCAGAAATGGCACTGTTGTTGACAGGGCAGGAAGATTCATGTAGAACACAAGATACGAGTAATTTGGTCATCCAAAGTCAACGCATCTGAGAGCTGCAGGAAAACCCAAACCAGGCCTCCCTGAGGGCACCACTTCCTCCTCACTGTTCTTACCTTCTGGAGGATTTTTGTTCTGATTATTCCAGACGACCAGCAGCTTGGATAGACTGGGTACCTTGGACACTTCGGTGATGACCCGGAAGAGGCTCTCCACACGGTCATAGGTGAGCACAATGGCAGTGAAGCCTTGTGATTGCGGTGGGATCAGTGGGAGGAAGAGGGGGTTGCTCACGCTGGCCCGCTTCTGCAACAGGATAGGAGTTTGTGGGTCAGAGGAACTTCAGTGGTAGGGCTGACCCAACATACCATTAGACCTGGCCATGGCAAGCTGTGGTTTTTCCCAAGAACTGAGCCACTGCTCCAAATCTTTCCCTCTTCAAGGTCTGTATGAACTTCCTTTAGTTAACTTTGGCTCTGATATCACTGAAAAGGACTAGAGAACATCTGCAGCTGAGAAGAGATTCCAAGTTAAACATGGCAGGTTACAAACATGCATTTACCTCCACTCTTTCTCCAAACCAGACATGACAACTGATGATTATAAAATAACCAGGTTCTGCAATGCACAGAGATGGGAGAAGCGACAATAGCGATGAGCCAGCCCACCATTTACTTTCCATAGACTGAAAGGGCTGGAGAGGGCCACCGAGCAGGGGTATGAGTGGAGGCCTGTGCCTGCTGGGAGGGGAGCCATTGTCTTAGGACTTAAGCTGCCTGGGTGCCTCCTAAGGTAAGAAGATGGGTAGAGTTGAAAGCAGGAGGACTGGTTAAAAAAATCTGTGTCAGGAGCAGTCAGAGATCCAGAGTTACAAACCCTCCATTTACTTTACTTAGCCAGAAAATCACTTTTTCCCTTACTCCAGCTGGAGAAGGGAGGTTTATTTCCTGAAGACACGGAAGTTCCAGACAGGTGAACACAGGCACAGCCAAGGCAATCCTAAGTCAAAAATATACATGCTGAATGGCTAGCCCTTCAGCCTTCTTCGTTCTTCAGTTCCAAACATGTTGGAAGCTGTATAGCAGTTTGGCCCAGTATTTCCCAGGGAAGCCCTCCAGACAATAAGCCAGCCCTCACACAAAGAACTTCTGATCAGCTTTCAGTGCCTCCTTCTTAATCATGAACAGATTCTAGAATCACAGACATTTCAAGAGCATCTTCAGCAAGAACAAGGGAAATCAAAAGCAACAAAGGGAAAAGGAACTCGGAGGAAGCAGAGACAATAGAAGCAGAAAGAAAGGAACACAACATCAGCAACAAATTACGCCCTCATTGAGGCAAGTTTCACCAGGAAATAAGGATAAATCACTGTTTTTATTTGGAAGCACCTCAGACTGGACAGAATTCGGATATTAAAGACATAGGAGTTTATAGGTTTATTTGGTTTTTTATTAGTATGGGATTCTAAGGTAAAGATGATTAAATATTCCAGGCTGGTGAACAAAAAGACAGAGATGAAAAATAGGACAAGAAAGAGAAGAAAACCCAAGAGGTCCAACATCCATTTAATAGGAGATCCCAAGGGGAAAAAACAAAGAAACAGAATAAGGACAAAATGAACCTATCAAAGACATGAAACATGCTCTCAGTACAGATGTGAGAAGCATGAGCTTTCAGAGTACAGGGACCAATAAGCAGCTAGCATGGTAAAATTTTCAAAGAAAGATGAAGAAACAAAACAATGAGACAAAACCATTGCCATGTCAAAGCACACCATTTGTGCACACAGGAGCCAAGAGAAACCTCACAAAGTGGAACTCAAGGTGATGAGCATGAGTTTTCCATGCAACTCTGTAAGTTTGGGATTTGTTCAAACTATAGCTTAAAAATTAATGAAAGAAATGCAATCTCTTTCTTACCATTAGAGTGTTAAATCATTTAAGTGTAGCAGTTTAAGCAAAAATATCTTTGTAGTGACAATGAACAGGGAAAGAGCATTAAAACGTTCTTACACTTTTTAACAGCTGTAAGACGCAACTTGTAGACCAGGTAATTCATTCATTTAAAGAATGCAATGGTTTTGGTATATTATGCTAGTTTTTAAATTGTGATAAAAAATGTAAAATTTTCCATCTTAACCATTTGTAAGTATACAATTTGGTGTCATTAATTACACTTATGTTCATATGTTAGCATATTTAAAGACCAGAACTGAACTCCATCTCTACTAGGAGGAGAATGTGAAAAGTCCTATCTGTCATCCTGGCTGCCTTACACTTCCTTAAAACCTTTTATAGGCTGGATTCCCAAGGTCCCCTATCAATCTCATCCATACCACTGATGGACACCCACTACCACATGTGACAACAGCTGTCTGCCAGATGTGACAGTGTGGGACAGGAAACATATACAAACACATGGAGTACACATGGGATGGGAACTCGGGGAGCCTGAATGGGATTCCTGAAGCCTTAATGTAACCAGGATTTAATATTAAAGCCAAAACAGCTACAGAATGCCATCATCAGATTTCATAACCAAGAGACCCATTAAGATAGGTTGTCTTCTCAGTGCTGACCCTGTTTCCATAACATCACAAACTGACACTAAGCTGTAGTCTTAAGAAGGTGCCTGGGTTTTACTATTTGCACACTAGCATTTCCAGAAACCCTTTAAGTTTTATGCCTCTTGTCTTATTCTTCATCTCTTTTTATGGAAACTGAAGTCAGTAAGGAACTCTATGCTTAAGTCACAAGTAATCCCAAGGTACAGTTCAAGGTCTATCTGCACTACCATCCCCAAACCACTCTCCCACTCCCCACCAAAATGATACTCCTTTATGTCTACCTGAAAAACACCACTTTAAATGGAAAAGAAACAAAAAGGACTTTTAAAAAGAACTGTGTAAAATCATTTAATGTATGATATCAGGCTAGACTGACTGAGCCTTTACCAAGTGCTAGGCACTGTCCTTTACCTGTATTGGCTCATTTGAGATCAGGACAAGCCCCAAGGCAGACAGAGCTGCCATTCTCAGTTTACAGATGATGGCAGTGTGCAGGATTAGGAACAGTGACTGACATACAGGGCCCTGGGAGACACTCATGGAGTGGTTCCCAGCCCCTCTCACACTCTCCTACAAACACTTAGCAGAGCCTAGGCAAGTACCACCATTTTATATACTTTAAAAAGTGGAAGTGTAGGGGAACTCCAGAGTTCACTACTTCTAGCTTCTTGCTAAGACAAAAATCCTGAAATTCTTGATCCTTATTATCAATTCTGGGTCAATAAGCAAGAACCCACCCTAAGCACAATGATTTCAGAGAGTACCTGGAACAAAAATGCACTGAATATATAACCCTAAGACAAAGTGAACACATAAATTAAAAAAAGGTAAACATACCACTGACACAGAAGGAAAAACTATTAAAACTCCAACAGAATGAGGTCTGTACTTTGGGAGGAGGGAGGAGTATGCCAACAGACTTAAGTGTCTCTCTGACATTAAGAGGACAAGAAAGTTCCCTGAGAGGCAACGCTTGGCTTCGAAAAGCAAACACCCTATGATTTAACCTTAGACAGCCCAGAAAAGTACCCCAGTTTTATTTCAAGGTGCTGCCAGGGAGAAGGAGCCAGAGTCTCTGGCAAGAGGACAGATCTGGTCTCATCCCGTGTGCCAGCTCCATTTTGGGAAGTGGATGGTTAGGGAAAGGGGAAGACAGGAAGGAAGGGATGGCTAGGAAGTGGTCAGTTACTTTCAACACTACCCAGTTACAACCCAAATAGGGCTTGAACACTGGAGAAGGTGTCATGTGGGGGAGACAGACGTAGAGGAGCATATCAAGGACTGAAATCTGGCCAGTATTTCCTACAACTACAGCAACTGAGATGAACACAGGAGGCAACACAGGAACTACTGAGAGATATTTACCATGCAACAGGCTCTATTCTCCACTATGGGGTGTAACTTCAAGGCTGATGCACATCACTCCCAAAGCTGGTATGTCTGGAGTCAGTTTGGGAGCACAAGTCCTTAATCTGAATTCAGGTTCTTTCATCATCAGGTGTGGGACATAGGCAAAGTACTCACCTCTCTTGTGCCTCAGTTTCTCTGTCTATAAAATCCTAACAATCTGACCAGTACTTCAGTACTTTTCTAGGTAGTGTTACTTAGCATAAACAAGGGAACACATGTAAAGTACCTGGCATGTACAGGCACTGGAGAGATGGCAGCCAATGGTTCATCTGGTATGATAGCCATTTTTCTACAGTCTCAAAAGTGGGGGGCCTAAACAACTAGAAGTCTCTTTTAGCCCAAGAATTCTACATGAAGTTATTCTTCCTCTCTATCTTCACCTCAGCATGCTTTCTTTCTTTCTTTATTTTGCATACTGGGGTTTGAACTCAGGGCCTACACCTTGAGCCACTCCACCAGCCCTTTTTTGTGAAGGGTTTTTTCAAAATAGAATCTCACAAACTATTTGCACAGGCTGGCTTCAAACAGTGATCCTTCCGATCTCTGCCTCCTGTGTTGCTAGGATTAGAGGCCACTGGCGCCTGACCCTCAGCATGCTTTTAAGGTCCTGATTTACCTGGATTTTGCCTCTGCTTCTTCCTTTCCAAATACACCATTTTTATTTTCATAGTTTTCTCTTGTCCTTCCTATTCTCTGTGTTTTAACTGTCCTAAAAGCTTCATGAAGGCAGGAGCCAGAACACTCAGTACCTGATTCAGTGTCTAGTGCGTGCTAAACAAACAAACAAGTTCAACCCCAATGACCCAGGCCATGGTTTGTCTGTCCTCTGTGTAAGACAGGAATAACTAATGTGTACTCAAGTGAGTGACGAGCTTTGAGACAGTAAGTGCACTTTACAAGTACTTACCAAGAATCTTACTGTGCGAAGGATTCAGAAGAGGCTCAAGATTTTATAGCGCTATCTAACCAAGGGCTTGACGCGAGGTCCTATCATTTATTAGTTCTATGGCATCAGTTTCCTCATCTGTAAAGTGGGGACCACGCCGTCCCTCTATCCCAGTGGAATGATGATTAAGTGACATTATGGACCAGCATGGGAGGTTGTTTAAAACGAATGCAAAACACTCCCTGCTATTCCCAGTCTGTGTTCTTGCTCACTCAGACAATGCATTAACAATTCAGCAATCATTTCTCCTAGTGTTATTTCTGTCTTCATTCACTCAGTGTACCTTTCCTGACCATATTCTACAGACTGGAATAGTGTTAAAGATGCAGAGGTGAACATACTCCTTCCTTTCAAAACACTCAGAACCTGGTGGAGAGGTGTGAGGTAAAAAGATGAATTACACAGCAAACCAGAAAGCAGACATGAAGATATTAAAAGCACTCCCCGGTGCAAGCACAGAGCTCTACGGTATCATGCTCACCTCCCGGAGGAGACAAGACTTGAGGAGGGTCTTCAGGGGTGGGTTGGCCAAAGAAGCCATGAGTGGCACCTACAAGACAGGTTAAGATCTCACTGAGTCATACCCAACAGAAACTTTTTAAATGTTATGCAATTATTTTTGCTTGTTTTGAAACTTTCTGAGTAGTGTTTTACTGATAAATTAACACAGCTACCTTTGTGTTCTTTTTTAAAAGGTCATGAGTAGGAAATGCTGATTTTCAAAGAGACTTCTGTGCCGATTGCTTTTCCCCTTCTCTAACCTAATCCCATTTGCCTGCGGAGCTCAGTGACAGGGTTGGAGAAAGGCAGCCTTAATTGGGATGCATGCCTTCACAGACACTCTGCTCCACTGGAGTAAGGTCAACAAACCAAGCCCCAGAGGGAAAAAAAACCTACTGGAAAGGGACATTTCAAAAATGGCATTTAGTCACCTCTGAAATACCTTTCAGAACTGACCCCCTGCTGGCTGGCCACGGAGAGTGTCTACAGTCTGGGACCTCTTGACCCCACTTTCTGCAGGAAATCAGGCAAATTTAAACCTCCATAATTTACTCAAGACTCTGGCTTCTGCCAGGGAAAGGCCAATTAACCTTGGTGCCTGATTAAGTCTCCACTATGGTGAGATGGGCTATGAAACCAGGCAGTCAGCAGCAGAGACCTGGAAAGAAGGCAAGTCCCACCTGTCACAGCTGCACCTCTGCAATTGCACCAAGGCAATTTCCAAACACACTCCATGAAACTGCTCCCTCAAAGACGGGGGGATATCAAAAGAAGTATGCGCTATTCTGACAATGCACTGGCCTTTGGCCAAAACACCTCCCTCATCTCTCATCCATCCTCCCACCCTCCCACCCTGACTCCTACAAGGAATATTTGTCATAGAAGCTCCAATAAGAAATCCTGCATTGTTAAACTGCAATCACACAAAAGTAGTCCATAACGTTATGACAACTGTCAGGTCACAGGGCCATCTACAGGAAAATTCTTACTTCACTTACTGAAGGTATCCAAGCTCCTCATGAGCAAACAAGCAGAAAGAGTTGTGGGCTCAGGCTTCAGAGGATTTGAAGAGAGGCCTTGGGAGACCAAGCTTCAAGTCAAAACCAGTACATAGGGGTTCTCCTTCGAAAAAAGACTCAAACTCAGGCAACTAACTATGCCTTTGGTAACCCTGCACAAAGAAAGTTGTCTGGGCTCTTTTGCAACCCTGTTTTGTGTTCATACAGTTGGATGGCAGTCCTATCTGAGCCTAACCAAAGCCACTCTGGCCAAGATTACCCCACAGAAGACAGAGGAAGGAGGGGTGAATGAATGACTTGCTAGCCATTCTGAAATGTTCTTGCTGGAGCTACTTGGGGGTTGTAAAATCAATAACGAGGAAAACCACACTTCATGACCAACTCTTTCAACCTAACGCAGACCAAACAATCAGTATAGGAGAAACCAAGCTGCAATGCAGGTTGATTCAAAATCTAATTACTATTACTCACCATACCACAGATTTTTTTTTTTATGTCACTATGTATAACTTCATGTGAAAATAGGAGACTTGGGAAGACATTCGAGTCAACCCACATTTGATTTAAATGGAGGTATTTGTCAGAGCAAGAAAGTGAGAAGTCAGAGAAGAAAGGACTAGAGGAGGACAGGCCTGTTACACAGAAGCTTTGAGCCCCTGGTAATGAGAAGCCTTACCTATTCCTACCTTGATAGAAAGGGCAGTTTTCTTGGTTGTTTTGAAGTTATCAACCCTTACCTCAATGTGGTTTCAATTATGAATTACCAGACTAAAAGGGAAAAAAAAGCTTTGATTTATTCTTTTTTGCTCCAATTATGCATGATGTGTTTCCAGCGAAGACTTTGAAAGTATTTCATCATGCCTCTCATCCTGAAGTGGTCAAAGGGCAAAACCAAAAGGAGTTAACCCTTTCATTTCTCCTCTAGGTTCAAAGAAACTCCCATCAGTGGACATAGTGCAAGACCTCTGAAGCAAACCCAGCAACGAGAGGGTTAAGCATTAGCATCATATTACTAACGTGCATAAGGGTGGTGTCCCTTGTCCAAAATGGTGAGATGATATTTATGCTAATGGTTACTGGGAGATTTGAAAGGGGCAATCAGTAATGCAGCCCATGCTGCCTTAACCATTAAACGCCTACAGCTCCAACTATACACAGCACTCTCACAGGAGTGCACTCTGACCTAAGCATGTCTTCAAGTAGGATCTCTTAGCTTGAGAGAAAGACGATTTGAGGACAAGTCCGAAGTCTACCTGCTGCCTCATGTCTTTATTCAGTTCACTCTTAAGTAATAACTGGCCGTTCGGAAAAACAAGAATAACACTGAAGGACAAGTCTCATGATTACACGTGAAACAGACACGTGGAAGGATGAAGAAATTAAAAGTTTAAACATCCTCTTAGGGCTTCAGACTTAACTAAGTCAGCAAGCTGTCAGCTCAGAATTCCTGCAACCTACTTACAGAGTTTCTTCATAAGTAAGTTTCTACATGGTGAGACAGATGTGCCTAACCACTTTTGGGTCACTGAAGTAAGAGGTACTGTGCCTGTCTGATATCTGAAGACACTGAGCCAGAGAGATGAACCCAGGGTTACAGAGCAGGCCCAGTATTTCTACTGTGTTCTGTACCCTTTTCCTCTAGATATGTATAAGATCTCTGTTTTTCTTTGATGTACTTCAGTTTCACTATGATTCCCTAGCTGTGCATTTATTTTCACTAATTAACCTGTTTGTGGTTTGTTGTCCTTCCTGGGTCTGAGGCCTGCAGTCGTCATTCAACAGTTCTGAAAAACTCTCAGCTATTATCCTTTCTTCTTCTTCTGCAACTCTGATTTTACATATGTTAACCTTAATAACCCTCTGTTCTCTGTGTCACTTCATTTTTCTATCAATTTTTCATCTTTGTCACTTTTGGCTACATTCTGAACAACTTCTTTGAATCTAATAGTCTAATCTAATCAATTACTGGAAGACCTTATAGCTCTATTTCTTCTGGTTCTCACTCAGGAGGTTGCCTTGTTTCTTTATGATCTTGTGATTTCTGCCTGTGAACTACTCATTTTCTGTAGACACTTAAAAATAAGAATTACTTGAGCCCTGGGCTGAAGATGGGTCCAGGCAGACAGGGCCTGTGTGTGCTTCCACTGGTTCTTAGTGACTCGGTGCATAGGTCCAATGCCTCCTAAAGCTTATTTAGACCATCTTGTGAATCCCATCATGACCCACTTGGGGCAATGTGTCCTGGCTTAATCCAGAAAGTTCTTGTGAGATTCCCCATCCTGGACAGGTCCTAGGTGACAAACCCTGCTTCCAGGCCTCCACACAGCAGTCAGGTCGAAGCTCTAGATCAGCTCTGCAAAGATTTGTACAGCAAGCACTGGCTTTGGCTCCTGCTCCCTTCTAGAATACCAATGCCACTTTGTTTCAGGGCTCAGCACATCTTATTTTCATGCCAGCTCATCAATAGGTTAAAATTGCATCATAACACTTCATTCAGATGTTCAGATGGGTTGGTCACTCACCATAGCTAACCCATCGTGAAATCTTTCTGTATTTCTAATGTCAATCTAATTATGTGCCACTGTCTTCTCTATTTGAGAGCCAAGTTTGTATGCAAAATAAAAATAATTATTAAGAAAAATTGGAAGTATATTTTAATAGATAAAATGACAAAAATACTTTTTAAGAATTGTCTCTGTACCAAATATATATAGACTTTCCTTTCTTGTTATTATTCCATAAACTATAAAACATAACAACTATTTACATAACATTCACACTGGATAAAGTATTATATGTAATATAGAAACTGAAGTATACAAGAGGATGTGCATAGGTTGCATGCAAATACTCTGCCATTTTACCTAAGGGACTTGAGCACTGGGGTTTTAGTACCCAAGGGGACCCTGCAATCAATCCCCCACAAATACCTATGGACAACTATACTAGTGGATGTATCATTAGCAACTCTTCACTTTTTGATACTACTGTACTACTTATAAGATTCTTCTCTGAGAATTTTATCATTAATTTTTCATAACAATCCTGTGAATAATCTCACTCTTCCCATTTTAGATAAGAATAATGAATTTCAAAGACATAAGAAACCTGTGTAAGATCAAGCTAATAAATGCTCTTGAATTCAGGTGTGATTACAAATTGTCCTCTTCGATGGCCTAGACACAAATTAGTAATCAGTTACAATGATTAATAGCAGTCAGCTATTATGATCCCTAAACTGCCTTACAGATGAGCAAAGTGTTGCACAAGAGAGAGTAAATAACCTCAAGTCACTCAGATCATCAGCAGGAAAGAAGGGATTAAGACTCACAGTTCAGAAACGTCTGGGCTACAGTTAGCTTACTGAAGGCTCATGGGTTAAACCATCTGAAGGCCTCTTGAAAATTCCTGCTATTATCTAAGTCTTAGCTACTTCAATCTTTTCTTTATATAGCACTGCAATTCATATTTGGCTAAATGCCCACCCTTCCTCTATAATGCCAAACTACTGTCAAGAAGAGCAGGAAGGGTGGCCACTGATTGCTTTTCAGGTAGTAGAGGAAAAAGTTGACATTTCATCTTCCTTTTGCTTGGAAAGGAAGGCAGTCATTTATAAGAACCTCATCTGGCTGTGGCTGCCATCAGTGGGATGGACAGAAGCCAGTTAAATGGCTCAACATAAGCCATATTAAAAGAATTTGGAATGAGGAAAGAGGGTTCCATATGTTGATACTTTTAATAATTCATGAGTTATATCAGTCTGCAAGTAATAAATTTCACTAAATATATCTACGGTGTGATTGCTTGAGATATTGACAAAAATAACACATCACTGGTTTTATTGGTTTATAATTCGATATATTAGAAATGACATTTCACCTATTTGACAGTGATGGTGCACAAGATTCAGGTTATTTTTAGAATGTGGACTGCAAACACATAATCATCACCCCTGGATCTGTGATTTTGTAAGCATACTGAAAACACATGAAAGAGATGCCCCAGTGAAAAAGCTAGTACTTCTTTAATG